AGGCCAAGCCAGGCAGGCAGACCACCTGAGGTCAGGAGTTTGAGATCGGCCTGGCCAACAAGGTGGAACCCCATCTTTACTAAAAATACAAAAATTAGCCAGGTGTGATGGCGGGCGCCTGTAATCCCAGCTACTGAGGAATCTGAGGCTGGAGAATCACTTGATAGGGGACCAATAATTAATAGTAATATGGAAAAAAAAGAAAAAAAAAAGGAGAATTGTTTGAACCTGGGAGGTGGAGGTTGCAATGAGCCAAGATCACACCACTGCCCTTCAGCCTGAACAACAGAGTGGGACTCTGTCTCAAAAATAAAAATAAAAATAAATAGACTGGGTTCAGTGGCTCGTGCCTGTAATCCCAGAACTTTGGGAGGCTGAGGTGGACGGATTACCTGAGGTCAGGAATTCAAGACCAGCCTGGCAAACATGATGAAATCTCATATCTACTAAAAATACAAAAGTTAGCCAGGCGTGGTGGTGAGCACCTGTAATCCCAGCTACTCGAGAGGATGAGGCAGGAGAATTGCTTGAACCCAGGAATCGGAGGTTGCAGTGAGCCAAAATCATGCCACTGCACTCCAGCCTAGGTGACAGAGCAAACTCTGTCTCAAACATATATATATATATATATATATATATATATATATATATATATATATATGAGAGGATTCAATATCAGTTTCATATTTATTTAACAACTATTTATGTAATTACCTAGCATGCACTAGGCATTGTTTTGGAAGCTGAAGATACAGCAGTAAACAAAATGGACAAAACCTTCTGACCTCAGGGAATTGACATACCAGTAAGTATATCTAATGCATTTATTTAATCACTCCCTAATTATCATTTTGGTAGCTTCCAGTATCTTGCTACTGTGACCAACACTGTCCTGGGTATCCTTGTGCATGTAACTGTCTCACAGGTATCAGGGTATCTGCGCTGTCCAATAGATCTTCCTGTGATGATGGAAATGTTCTATGTCTGCTCTTTTCAATATGTAGCCACGAGCCACATGAGGCTACTGAGCACAAGACATATGGCTAGTAAGACTGAAGAATAGAATTTTACATTTTCTGTAGTTTTTTTTGTCGTTGTTGTTTTGTTTTGAGAAAGGGTCTCTGTCAGTCAGGCTGGAGTGCAGTGGCACAATCATGTCTCACTGCAGCCTCGACCTCTAGGGCTCAAGTGATCGATCCTCCCCGCTTAGCCTCCTGAGTAGCTGGGACTACAAGTGCGCACCATTACACGTACCCAGGTTTTTAAAATTTTTTGTAGAGATGAGGTCTTGCTGTGTTGCTTAGGCTGGTCTCAAACCCCTGGCCTCAAGTGATCCTCCCATGTTGGCCTCCCAAAGTGCTGGGATTATAAGCGTGAGCCACCGCACCTGGCCTGAATTTTTTTTTTTTTTAATCAGACAGGGTCTTTCTCTGTTGCCCAGGCAGGAGTGCAGTGGCAAAATCGCAGCTCACTGACACTTTGAGCTCCTGGGCTCAAGCAACCCTTCTCTGAGTCGGTAGGGCTGCAGGCACATCCCACTGCACTCAGCTAATTTTTAGTTTATTTGTTTGTAGAGAGTGGGGTCTTGGTATGTTGCCCAGGTTGGTCTTGAACTCCTGGCCTCAAGTGATCCTCCCACTTATTTTTGCATTTTTTGTAGAGACAGGGGAAGGAGTCGTGTGTGTGTGTGTGGGGGGGGCGGGGGGGGAGTTCTCACTATGTTGCCCAGGCTGGTCTTGAACCCCTGGACAAAAGTGATCCACTTGCATCAGTAACTCAGAAAGTGCTGGAATTACAGGCATGAGCCACCATGCCCAGCCGTTTCTTAAATTTAAGCAAACAAATTTTAATAATAATGCCTGACATACATAATCCCAGCACTTTGGGAGACAAAGACAGGAGGGCCACTTGAGCTTGAGAGTTCGAGACCAGCTTGGGCAACATGTTGAAACCCTGTCTCTACAAAAAATTAAAAAATTAGCTGGGTGTGCTGATGCACGCCTATAGTCCCAGTTACTTGGGAGGTTGAGGTGAAAGGATGGCTTGCATCCAGGAAGTGGAGGTTGCAGTGAGCCAAAATTCTGCCATTGCCCTCCAGCTTGGGCAACAGAGCCAGACCCTGTCTCACAAAAGAAAAAAAAAAAACAGCCTAGGCAACACAGTGAGACCTCATCATTACAAAAATAGAAAAAATAGCTAGCCATGAAGGCACATGCCTGTAGGTCCCAGGTTCTCAGGAGGCTGAGGCAGGAGGATCACTTGAGCCTGGGAAGCCTGCAGTGAGCTGTGATCCACTTTTTAAAAAAAGAGTGATCCAACTGTATTGCTGTCTACAAGAAACTCACTTTATAGACTAGCCCTGAAAGGATGGAAAAGATATTTCATGCAAATATCGACCAAAGAAGAGGAGGGGCAGCAATACTAATATCAGAAAAATGACGTCTTTCCAGGTCAGGCACAGTGGCTCACGCCTGTAATCCCAGCACTTTGGGAGCCCGAGGAGGTTAGATCACCTGAGGTCAGGAGTTCAAGACCAGCCTAACTAATATGGTGAAACCCTGTCTCTACTAAAAATACAAAAATTAGCTGGCATGCTGGTGCACACCTGCGGTTCCTGATACTCAGGAGGCTGAGATAGGAGAATCACCTGAACCTGGGAGGTGGAGGTTGCAGTGAGCCAAGATCGTGCCACTGAACTCCAGTCTGGGTGACAGAGCCAGGCTCTGTCTCAAAAAAAGAACAAAGAAAAATTACTTGTCCAAAAGATTACAAGAGATAAAGAAGGCATAATATATTAATAAAAAGTCCAATACAGCCAGAAGATATAATGATTATAAACATTTATGTACCTAATAACAGACCATCAGAATATGAAGGAAAAATTAGTAGAATTGAGGGAAGAAATAGACAGTTTCACAATAATAGTTACAGACTTCAATGCCCCACTCTCAAACAGCAAATAGAACAAAGGAGATAAATAAGGAAATAAAGGACTTGAGTAACGCAATAAGACAACCAGATCTAACACATATACAGACACTACCCGACATACATTGATAACAGTATACGCATTCTTCTCAGTTACACATGGGATAGCCTCCAGGATGGCCCATATGTTAGGCCATGAATTCAGCCTCAAGAAATTTTAAAAGATAGACATCAGCCAGCCGTGGTGGCTCAGGCCTGTAATCCCAGCACTTTGGGAGGCTGAGGTGGGCAGATCACTCGAGGTCAGGAGTTTGAGACCAGCATGGCCAACATGGTGAAACCCGGTCTCTACTAAAAACACAAAAATTAGCCATGCGTGGTGGTGGGTGCCTGTAATCCCAGCTAATTGGGAGGCCGAGGCAGGAGAATTGCTTGAATCCAGGAGGCAGAGGTTGCAGTGAGCAGAGATAGCTCCAAGCACTCCAGCCTGGGAGACAGAGTGAGGCGCCATCTCAAAATAAGTAAGTAAATACATAAATAAAATAGAAAATATCGAAAAACAAATGAAAACAAAAACACAGCATACCAAAATTTACTGGACACAGTGAAAACAGTGCTTAGGGGAAATTCTATAGGTATAAGTGCTGCAAAATCCCAGGCAGAAAATTGCCAGGGCCTGGGAGCATGGCGGGGCGGAGATGGGGGAGGGAACAGGAAGTTACTGTTTAGTGGGCACAGACCACCAGAATTCTGGAGATAGCTGATGGTGATGATTGCACAATATGAAATGAATGTGCTTTGTTGTTGGTTTTTTGGTTTTGTGTTTTTGAGACGGAGTCTCACTCTGTCGCCCAGGCTAGAGTTCAGTGACTGTTGGAGTGAGTGAGCGGTCTTAGCTCACTGCAACCTCCGCCTCCGGAGTTCAAGCGATTCTCCTGCCTTAGCCTCCAGAGTAGCTGGGACTACTGGTGTGCGCCACTATGTCCTGCTAATTTTTATGTGTTTAGTAGAGATGGGGTTTCACCATGTTGGCCAGGCTGGTGTGGAATTCCTAGGCTCAAGCGATCCGACTGCCTCGGCCTCCGAAAGTGCTGGGATTACGGGTGTAAGCCACCATGCCCAGCTCCTATGTATAAATAAATGATACTGATTTTCTTCTTGCAGCTCAGGAATTAGATCTGTTATTAGAATTTGTTTGGTTAAATTTAAGAAAGGACTGGGCACTGTGGCTCACGGCTGTAATTCCAGCACTTCAGGTTGCCGAGGCGAGCAGATCGCTTGCGTCCAGGAGTTCAAGACCAGCCTGGGCAACATAGTGAGAACTACCCCCACCCCCCGCCACACACACACAACCCCTGGCCAGCACCTCCCGCCCTGCCCCGACTCCTTTCTCTGTCTCTACAAAAAAAAAAATACAAAAATAAATGAGTTGGGCATGGTAGTGACTGCCTGTGGTCCCAGATATGCAGGAGGCTGAGGTGGGAGTATTGCTTGAATCCCGAAAGTCGAGGCTGCAGGGAGCTGCGATCGTGCCACTGAACTCCAGCCTGGGCGACAAAGCAAGACCTTGTCTCAAAATAGATTAAATAAATAAATAAATTTAAGGAAAAAGCAATGATTTGAAGAGAACTAGTGATAGTGCAAGTGGTGCCGAACTAATGACTTACATTTGGAAAACAGCGGTCCACGCGCAAAGACCGTCACAAATCTGGCAGCCTTTGGATTTGGCTTCCACGTTTTCCAGATTGCCTTCGGCCTCTAGGTCGCTCAGGTCAGAGGGGCCGGGAGGCGCGGCCCACCCACGAGCCCCGCCCCCAACAGCGCCCCGCCCCCAACAGCGCCCCGCCCCCACGCCCGCCTGCCGCGAGCCCCGCCCCCTCGGCCTACTCCTCCTCAGCCGCCGTTGCGCGGCTCTTGAGCAGCAAAATGGCGGCGCAACAGCAGTGCCGGGAGGGTACTGCGCAGCTGGCGGGGTCGGCGGCGGAGGCTGACCCCCTGGGCCGCTTCACGTGTCCCGTATGCTTAGAGGTGTACGAGAAGCCGGTACAGGTGCCCTGCGGACACGTGTAAGCGGCGAACCCGGGCCTGGTAGGGGGGCGCCTGACTGGGAGGGGAATGGAGCGGAGGAGCGAGGCCCCGACGAGTTGGGTCTCGGGGCGGGAGCCAGAGGTGACCCAGAGGGGCCTCCCGGCGGGGCTCCCCAGGGCTCCTAAGGACCTTGAAAGCTGCCGGGGCACTCTTCTGTTCCGCCCTGCTCACTCCCAAGTATCCAGTCCCTCCGCCCTTAGCTGGGCAGCTGCTGTCCGTTGAGCGCCTGCGGTGCACCCGGCGGCCTGTCAGTCTCCTTCTCAGACGAGATAGTGAAATCGTGCCCTATGAGGACTTTAGGCTCTGAAGTCCGCCTTGGAGTGCCGACGTTTCTTTTCTAGTCCATGTCGCTCTGAAAGCATAGGCCATTTGGCATCGTGTCTAGCTGTGCCGAGTTATTCCAACGTGGAGTAAAGTTGGGAGAAACGCTGAACTAGACTAAAACAAAAGGGAAGTCTATGTGGATCTGGCCAGTCTGCCCTTACCTGTGAAAGGGGGTGGGAGTTGGCAGACGGATTGTTAGCGTTCTCTACTTCCTGTGTAGGAGGTTTGTTTCTTTCGATTTCCAATGAAGCCTTCATGACCTGAATACTGTGAATAGACTGGTTATGGTGATTAAAGTAGATATGTGTAAAAATGTCCAGTCCAGGTCCTGGGCTGTGGCCGGGGCTTTCGAGGTTGGCGGATTTGAATCTAAGCCTTGTTCCATTAGATGCACAAACACACGTGAGCTGAAAAAAAATTGTAGGCAACGTGGCCACCTGCTTCTTGCCTCTGAGAATTGGCTTTTCCTCCGGCCTCTCTCGGTGTTTATTGTGGGATCAGCTTGGCACTGGTCTTGGGACCCCTTCACTAGGCAGCAGGCACAGTAGCCATTGCACTTCATGGCCGTTATTCTGTAACCACCCTGCAGCGGGGTAGGGTTCGTAGCCATATTACAGGTGAATACACTGAGGGTCCGAGGCTCACTTAAGGAAGGCTCATCGTGTCCTAACTCTTCCCAGATGGACTTCAGGTGACTGTTTTGTTACTCCGGAGAACAGTGGTTGGCACCTGGCAAAGGCTCCCAGCCGCACTGGCTGCTTTTTGCTTCTTCATGTAGCTTTAGGCTATTCCTCTTTCCAGTTCAGTTAGCCTGGAACTCTTTTTAATTTTCTCAGGCTTCAAGTCCCAGGTTAAGTTACCTCACCAAACACCATTCCTGTCTAAATTACTTCCCCCACTTCCTTTCTGGGGCTTAACTTCCTTCTTGCTTACAGCTCATGAAGGAGTGGCCGTATGTTTTTTGCCCCTCAACTGACTGGAATGCCCTCTGTGTGCCAGATCTTGGAGTAAAGTAGAAAGGTGACTGCCTTCTGAGTTTTACAGTTCAGTGAATTGATTATAAATAAGTACCGGTCAAACTACTGTAAAAATTCCTTCTGCAAGTAGGAGGGTATTTCAGGGATCACACCTCTGTCTGGGGTGAGTGATCAGGTAATGGTTGAATAAACTAAGAAATTAGTGGTGGAAGCAAACTTCACTAGAGTTGAAGTCTTTAGCTAGCTTTTTCATTGAATCCGTTTATCCTTGGCTCAGACTTACCTACTTTTGGATTAATTCAGTGGATTTCATTTACTATTAACATTTGTAAAAAGGTTAGACTTAGCACAGTTTGCTAAATGAAGAGCAGCAAAATTTGAGGTTTCCTTGAGCTAGGTGAACGTTTCCTAGGTCAGAGGGCAAGGAGTTGTACTGGGATTCAAACCTTGGCTTTTCCCTATACTCACTGTCCTAGCCCCACGTGCTGAGCAGTTCAGTGCAAATTGAAGACAGATGGGAGCACCTCTGTGAGGGCAGCCTGACTTAGCTCTAGCCCCTTAGCTGGAGCCAAGTGCTTTCTGCTGTGCCTAGTTGATTTTTACCTTTTGTGCTTGGAAACTTGAACATTACTGCAACTCTGGCTGGGGCATTGGATTTTTATAAAACTGTATTTCAAGCCCTGAATGACTGCATTCTCCAATCTAGGATAATACAGCTGGAAAAGGGCAGCTGGCTGGGTGCACAAGAGGGGAATTTCTTTCTAGCACTGGACTGGGGTGAGTGTCAGAAGGCTGAACTAGAAAGGGGCCCATAAGTAGGAAATAGAAATTGAAAAGCCAGCCCAGGATATTTGAGCAGTTCAAAAGCAGTTTGGTGGTTTGGGTGTGTCTCAGGCACAAAGTGGCTCGTGAACATTTGATAGATGAGCTGTACCACCTATGTATGTGCTTGAGAAGAGACTTCAGGCTGCTTTTATCTGCATGCTGGGTTCGGTTCCACTATACTCACTGGACCCTCGGCGGTCTCTTGGGTTCCTCTTGTGATCTGCCTTTGTGAAGAGGCAACACAAGTGATGACCGCAAGGCCCTGCCTGTCTCTGCTGCCTCATCGCTTGCCCTTCTCGCCATGGTCTACCACATTGTGGCTCCCAAGGCCTGCCTGCCTGCCTGTCTTTCCAGTGCTCATTTGTGTTTGGCATCATCTCGGTGTGGAGTTCTGCACCCAGATCTGTGACTGTCCTCGTAATTGGGTCCCACCCAGCTCAAATGCCAACTCCTCAGAAGCAGCTTTCTGTGATCACCCCAGCTGGTCTCTTTGCCATATTTCCTTCATATATTTTATCACTATCTGAAATTAACATTTGTGTTTCCCTTCACTCTAGAATGTAAGTTTCATGAGAACAGGGCTTTGTCAAGTTTCCACTCTGCCCTCAGTGGCAAATGAGTAGATTCTCTCACCTCTGAACCTGATCTGGAATTCCTAACAGCATTGACATCTAACTTAATGACAGAGAGGAAGGAGATTCTTAGAGGCAGTAGAAAGTGGTCAAGTGTTCAGAAAATTGCCTTTCATTATACATCCTTAGTTCTTTCTGGCAGATTGGGTTATACTGTCTTAATCTATCAGGTTAGGTAAGTAGCCCAGGGTGTCTTCTCCATTCTTTCTGTATGCAGTATCTCAGCGTCGACATCTGCCTAGGCTTCAGGATAGAAACTCAGTCATCTTTGACTTTCCTTCTTTTCTTTAAAGTCAGTAAGTTATCAAGTCCCGATTCCGTCTGAGCCATTTCCTGAATTCATCCTCTACTGCTTTAGTCAGGCCCTCACAATCCTCTGCCTTTAGCCATCTGTTTGGTTTTTGCTTTGTCTCTTCTCATCTCCTCACCTAAAAAAACTAACAACATGGCGGGTCGTGGTAGCCTATGTCTGTAATCCCAGCATTTTGGGAGGCTGAGGTGGGTGGATCACCAGTGGTCAGGAGTTGGAGACCAGCCTGGCTAACGTGTGAAACCCCGTCTCTACTAAAAATACAAAATTAGCCGGATGCGGTGGCAGGCGCCTATAATCCCAGCTACTTGGGAGACTGAGGCAGGAGAATCGGTTGAATCCAGAAGGTGGAGGTTACAGTGAGCCAAGATTGTGCCATTGCACTCTAGCCTGGGCAACAGAGTGAGACTGTCTCAAAAAAAAAAAAAACACACAAACAACAAAACTAACAACAACAAGAAAACTTGTTTTCCATGATAGCACAGAGATGTTTTTCTGAAACTTGGATTTGGTCTTGTCTTGTTAATATCTTGCTTTAAACTTCTGCTCTGTGGAAAAGTCTGTTAGATTATTATTTCCTCAGGTACATAATGAATTTTAAGCCTAAATTAGGCCTAGAATAGTCTTTCTTTCCTCTGCTGGCTGACCTCTTTTTTTTTCAAGTGTCAGATGGGTAATGGACCAACGTCTGTAACAAGGTTCAAGGGTGGGACATCTCACACATGTGCACGAACACCCAGTCATCACGTTCACGAACTACAGAGGATCCAGCTGAACTCTTTTAAGGCTGATCAAAGACACTGTCTGCAGTCTTAGCCCTTTCCTTCTCAGGTCACAGCTAGTTGCTTTTCCCCTTATGTTTCCAAAGCGCTTTGCCTTCACCTCTAATGATAGCAGCTCCCATTTATGGTGCATTGGTACATGCTGGACACTCTGCCAGGGGTCTGCTATACAAACTGCGTCCTCCCAGCAATCCTAGAGGTAGGTACTACTCTCTTCATTTCACAAAGGAAAAAACAGAGATTCTAAACCCCACTGAGATCCCTCAGTGGCAGGACCTAAGGCTTGAGGCCTCAACCTTAACACCTTTCACCGTGTATCACAGGAGTTTGCGTTTATTCTTGCAGTTGTGTGTTCTTTGTAGTCCACTTTTATTCCTCAATTTTTCTGGCCTGGAAGGACTTTGTATTTGAATTGGGAGAAGAGAGCAAGTTGTTTTTACTCCATTATCCATTGACGTCTTTTTAAAAGTTGATCCATATTTGTTGTCTTGTCTCCATGATGCGTGACGGAGGTTCTCTGTATGTCTTGTTCTAGCTTTTGCTCTGCATGCCTGCAGGAATGTCTGAAGCCGAAGAAGCCTGTCTGTGGGGTGTGTCGCAGCGCTCTGGCACCTGGCGTCCGAGCCGTGGAGCTCGAGCGGCAGATCGAGAGCACAGAGACTTCTTGCCATGGCTGCCGTAAGAATGTATGTGGAAGTAATGTGGAAGAGTCCATGTCTTTCCATGATAAGATGGGGTGAAATATACAGTGCTGTTTCTGAAGTTAGAGCATGACTAGGTCACTAACAGCACGCATGCATGCCAGTTACTTGTGCTGATGGCTGTGCTGGTTTGTTTTCATAACCCTACTGGTTTGTTTCCTTTTTAAAGAGTTGGTTAAGTGTATGTTTTAGCTTTGAAAGCCGTAGAAATCAGTTATCCCAGTTTTTTCCTATAAAAGATCAATTTTTGCCAGGCACAGTGGCTCACGCCTGTAATCCCAGCACTTTGGGAGGCCAATGCGGGTGGGTCATCTGAGGTCAGGAGTTCGAGACCAGCCTGGCCAACATGGTGAAACCCCATCTCTACTAAAAATACAAAAATTAGCTGGGCATGGTGGCTCATGCCTGTAATCCCAGCTACTCAGGAGTCTGAGGCTGAGGCAGGAGAATCACTTGAACCCAGGAGGCGGGGTTACAGTGAGCCAAGATCATGCCACTGTACTCTAGCCTGGGCATCAGGGTGAGACTCAAAAAAAAAAAAAAAAAAAAGAATTTTTTTTCCAAAGCATTATATATCATTTTAATTAGAATAAAATGATAATGATATTTAATGATTCTTTAAAAAATGAAGTCAGTGACTCAAACTTAACTCTTTTAATGCATTTGAGGGGAAGTGTTGTAATCTATATCATTAGATATAAAAATTTAATGGTTCAGCTTTTTAGCACTTAACAGGAATCATGATATAAAGGTCAATATGAGGACCAGGTACAGTGGCTCATGCCTGTAACCCCAGCTCTTTAGGGGTCCGAGGCAAGAGGATAGCTTGAGGCTAGGAGTTAGGAGACCAGCCTAGGCAACCTAGTTGAGACCTCATCTCTGCAAAAAAAATCAGATTAGCCAGGTGTGGTGGTATGTACCTGTAGGTCCAGCTACTCAGGAGGCAAAGGCAGGAGGATCATTTGAGCCCAGGAGTTTGGGATTACAGTAATCTATAATCATGCCACTACATTCCAGCCTGGTTGACAGCAAGACCCTGTCTCTTTTAAAAAGTCAATATGAAATCATTGGATTATAATAACAATAGCTAACATTTGAAATGCATCCATGCTCTTGTATAATCAGAGTCAAGTATATTTATTTTCATACCTGTTATAACTGCTACTGGAAAGGAGAAATACTGTTGTCCTGTTTTCCAAGAGATATACATGGCTTTATTGATTTTAGAATCATTAAAATTTTTTAAATTCTGGACCATACAAAAATATACAGTAATACAGGCTTGTTCCTCATTCCAGAGATTACTTCAAAAATAGTTCAATTTAAGGCCTGGCAGGGTGGTTCATGCCTGTAATCCCAACACTTTGGGAGGCCATGGCAGGTGAATTGCTTAGGTCCAGGAGTTCTAGACCAGTCTGAGCAACATGCTGAAACCTTGGCTCTACTGAAAATACAAAAAATGCAGGGCATGGTGGTGTGCACCTGTAGTCCCAGCTATTTGGGAGGCTGAGGTGGGAGGATGGCTTGAGCCCAGGAGGCAGAGGTTGCAGTGAGTTGAGATTGTGCTACTGCACCCCAGCCTGGACCAAACCCTATCTCAAAAAAAAAAAAGTGGTTCTATCTCAAAGGCTATGTAACATTTTCTATCCTTTGACAAACACAGATAGGGAATTTTTACCAACACAATTGTAGGATTTTTGCAAAATAAGATCACACTATATTTCTTCAACTTTTTTTTTCACTTCTTTAAATATACAATCATTCCCAACTTTTTTCTACTTTCAGGTTTTTTTCTCTTACATATTAGACAGCCTTGCATGTCAGTTTCATTATTTTTAACACTTAAGTGTGAATGACCATAGTGTTAATGAAACTGACCTTTCACAGTTATTTAGTATTAGGGATGCATAGTAGGGCTATTTCCTGTCTCTTAATTGGGGGCTTCACACGGCACAGTGACTCGTGCCTGTAATCCCAGCACTTGGAGAGGCCAAGGCAGAAGAATCATTTGAGCTCAGGAGCTTGAAACCAGGGTGGGCGACATAGTGGGACTCTGTATATACCAAAACAAACAAAACTAGCTGGGTGTAATGTATGCATGTAGTCCCAGCTCCTCAGGAGGCTGAAGTGGGAAGATTGCTTGAGCCCAGGAATTAGCGAAGCAGCCTGAGCAATATAGTGGACCCAGTTTCTACAGAAAAGGTAAACAAAATGGGGGTTTTCTCAGTTGGTAGCTTAAAGTCAAGTTTTTTTTGAGTTGGAGTCTTGCTCTGTGGCCAGGCTGGAGTGCAGTGGTGGGATCTCAGCTCACTGCAACCTCTGCCTCCCAGGTTCAAGCGATTCTCCTGCCTCAGCCTCCCAAGTAGCTGGGATTACAGGAGTACACCACCATGCCCAGCTAATTTTTGTATTTTCAGTTGAGATGGGGTTTCACCATGTTGGCCAGGATGGTCTCAATCTCTTGACCTTGTGATTCCCCCCCGCCTCAGCCTCCCAAAGTGCTGGGATTACAGGTATGAGCCACTGCGCCCGGCCAGTCAAATTCTTTAGCTGGAAGTGAGACAGTCATCATAGTAAGCAGGAGCTCAAATGTTGGAACATTTTTCCCCCCTCCAAAGTTTCCTTTTAGAAACTCAAGATACTGAAATACAATTTCCTACTGCCTTCATCTTTCTTTATGCATGCACAATAGGGTTTTGGGGTATTTCTTTTTTTTTGAGGTAGAGTCTGGCTCTTGTTGCCTGGGTTGGAGTGCAAGGGCATGGTCTCAGCCCACTGCAACCTCTGCCTTCCAGGCTTAAGCCATCCTCCCACCTCAGCCTCTCAAGTAGCTGGGACCACAGGCATGTATTACCATGCCTGTCTAATTTTTTTGTATTTTTGGTAGAGACAGGGTTTTGCATGTTGCCCATACTTATCTCGAACTTGGAATGCAAAGCGATCACCCACCTCAGCCTCCCTCAGGATTACAGGTGTGAGCCCCTGCACTCAGCCCATGATGGGCTTTTTGTCTGTTTTACTGTGTGCTTTTGCTTTTCTCCATTTTTAATATTAGTTATTATATTGTTGGTATACCTCTAAAAATATTTTTCTTTCCTTTATCTTCCCTCTTCAATTCTTTATTTTATTTTTCTTCCCTGCCCCAGTTGGGAATCTTCAATTCTTAAAACGCTTTTTAGAAAACCTGTAATGAAGCACTGTTCTCTGGGTTTTCCTCTCTTTCTGATTTATAGTTACACAGCCTAGATTTTATATGAAAGGTTGAGCCAAGTGTGGTGGCTCATGCCTGTAATCCCAGCACTTTGGGAGGCTGAGAGAGGCAGGTCACTTGAGGTCAGGAATTTGAGACCAGCCTCACCTGGTGAAAATCCATCTCTATTAAAAATATGAAAATTAGCTGGGCATGCCCAGGAGGCTGAAGTGGGAGAATTACTTGAACCTGGGAGGCGGAGGTTGCAGTGAGCTGAGTTGGTGTCAGTGCACTCCAGCCTGGGCAACAGAGTGAGCGAGACTGTCTCAAAAAGAGAGAATTCAGATTTTACTTCTTTTAAGATTATTTCTCACACTCTGGTGATTGATGCTTTAACCAGGGTTAGTGGCTTTTATACATTTTAGCTAAATGATCACTTTTCTCTGCTGCACATAACAGAGTGTGGTTTTTGGCTTGCTGTAAGGAGACTAATTTAAATTCTAGTATAGAAAACTTTTTAAAACATCCTAGATTTGGAGCTTGTCTGTGAGCAGACAGTGTATCATGAATAGGAGCAAACCTCTAAGAGAGTAGTTTTAGAGTGGAAGGAGATATCCTGATTTAGTCGAATAAAATAGCAGCCTTGGTATTAGTGGAAAAGCTGCAATAATCAGGATTTCAGCCCCATCAGCTTAGTCAGGAGTCTGGTGAGATTATTTGCCAGGGTGGTATAGGTCTAGATTTTATTGTACCTTTGTTTTGGGACTGTATTTGGCCTCTTATAAGGTCCTCACTAACTTGTGGGCTCTGATTCTTCTTATTTGAGTTCTTCCTATCCAAGATCCGGGCCCACGTGGCTACTTGTTCTAAATACCAGAATTACATCATGGAAGGTGTGAAGGCCACCACTAAGGATGCATCTCTTCAGCCAAGGTAAATGATTCAGTCTCCCTTTAGGTGGAGATCGTCTCTTGCTATTAATACAAAGAGCTTGGGCACGTGGCATGCCCAGGGGTTTAGTTGTATGAGTTGTATGAATTGTGCTGACTAAAGCTGATAAAAGTGTTTTGGGGGAGTATTCAAGGGAGGACCCT